AAACAGTATAAGGAACCAGTTCTGTAATTTAGGAATAAATTACAAGTTGAAGAGGCAAGATATAAAAAGATATAAGGGGGGGCGCCTGGTTGACTCAGTCAGTAAAACATCTGCCTTTGGCTCAGGTCCTGATCCCAGGATCCTGGGATCAAGCCCCAGGTTGGGCTCTCTGCTCAGTGGGGAGTCTGCTTCTCACTCTTCCTCTCCCTCTGCCTCTCTTCCCCCTGCTCATGTTCTCTCTCTCTCTCTGTCTGTCTCAAATAAATAAAATCTTAAAAAAAAAAAGATATAAAGGTTACATAACAAAGATTAAAGCCAATGGTTCTTCTGTAATAAAGTTATAATTATTTTTATTTTCAAATCAGATTGTTTACAGATAGTTTTGGCTATTATCAGAAATAATAATATTTGTAATCGATAGCATCTATTGAACACTTACTATTTGCCAGACACTTTTCTTTAGCTTTTTGGGGTTTTTTTAGGATTTTATTTATTTATTTGAGAGAGAAAGAGAGAGAGAGCAGGGGAAGGAGCAGAGGGAGAGAGACAAGGAGACTTCACACTGAGCATGGAGCCTGATGCAGGGCTCGATGAGCCTGAGATCATGACCTGAGCCGAAATCAAGAGTTGAAGGCTTAACTGACTGAGCCACCCGGGTCTCCCTAGACACTTTTTATAAGTGTCTTATAAAATCTTTTTAATAGAGTTATTGCTATCTTTTATTTTAAAATAAAGAAACTGAGGCTCAGTGAGGGTAAACAATTTTAACAAGACCACAAAGTCAATAAGTGTGAAGGCTGGTAAGTGTGAAGTGTTTTGAGCTCAGCTTTGCTTGGCAGTTGAGCCCACATTTCTTACCATTATTCTAAGAGTCTAATTAGAGTCAGTTCCCAAGTGAAGATGGAACTAATGGTGAGTGTGTTAGGAAGAATGGATACTATGACATGCTCTAGACAAAAGATCGATAATACATCCTCCATCCCCAATGTTTATCTTTGTGTATCATTGTACTTTAGAGCACTTGATAATTATTGTATACAAGTTAAAGGATAAATTACCTTTATAATGAATGAAAGAATTTTACTTTTTAGACCAAATGATATTGGAAAATGTTTTTGATCTCTCTTCTAAGAACACAAAGGGATTAGAGTTCAACCACTGACACAGTGATTGAAGGAGGATTTGTAGGGCTCTACTCTGTTTCTAGGGATAGACTATTCCAGGCAAGTGCAATTTCAAACACATGTGGTATACAAACAATGCATGCTACTGTTGACCTTTCAGCTCTTTTTTCTATTCCCCTAAGAACTCATCCCTTTAATCCACAATTCTCAGTGCCCCAGGAATAATGGCTTAGAGTTCCCAATCCAGTACCAGACATGAATAGTTTCATAGGTTCCTTGACCCTTCATCCATTTTGGACCTTTCATCCATTGAATGGACTCTTTGCTCCATTAGGATTCAACTTTTCTAGGTGATTAGTGTTAGCAGGTTCATTCCTAAGAATTGTGGGACCTGGGATGAGAGTATAAATGAAGATCTACATATTTTGTGTCATTATTCTTTATTATAAATAAAATAATTATTATTAAAATATGATCTATCCTCCCACTTTGACAGAAATATCTTTATAATAACTTGGATGGCTGGGTGAAATGTTAGAATTTTTGAACTCCTCTGTAGTGTGGTGACATGGAGAGGGATGGACTCCAGCCTTCAGCCCCTCCTTTAACCAGTTCTGTCCAGTATCATAGGAAGCTTTGAGCAGAGTGACACTTAGGCTGTACATCGAGCATCCATACACTCTCCACTCAAACATCTGCACCTGGACCGCCCATCCTTGCTAGGTGTATGCATGTTGATCGCATAGTCTGCTTACTGGGGGACAGAACTGGAAAGATGATATCACAGGCTCTAGATGAGGGATTGGGGCAATTTGGGAATGAAGTTCTGGGATCACAGGGATCTGGAGCATTGGTCTTCTCTGGAGAAAAGGAATGCAGGTTCCAGATGGGTACTTTTCTTGACTCTGTAGACTTTGCCTATGGGTGAAGATATGGCCAGAGAAAAGCCAGAGTGCTCAGCAAATATTTATTGGTTTTTCACTATGTGCCTGTATTGTTGTAGGTACATGAGACATGAATGAACAAATTAAAGTGCTTGCCCTTGCAGAGCTTATATTCTGAGAAAAGGAGAAACAGACTACAAATATTAAATGTAATAAATAATATACTATATAGTAAATTTAAAGGTGAGAAGTACTATAGAGACAATAAAAGTTAGAGCAGGAAAAGGTGGGAGGACTGTTAGTCATCATTGGCTTCAACTGAGGTTTGAGAGATTTGAGAAAAAACTTGAAGGCAGTGAGGAAATTAGCCAAAAAGAGAACAAGAGGGAAAGAAACTCAGGCCTTTGGGCGCCTGGGTGGCTCAGTCGTTAAGCGTCTGCCTTCGGCTCAGGTCATGATCCCAGGGTCCTGGGATTGAGTCCCACATCGGGCTCCCTGCTCGGCAGGAAGCCTGCTTCTCCCTCTCCCACTCCCCCTGCTTGTGTTCCTGCTCTTGCTATGTCTCTCTCTGTCAAAAAAATGAATAAAATCTTTAAAAAAAAAAAAAGAAACTCAGGCCTTTAAGAGTATAGTGAACACCTTGAGGTAGGACCACACTTGGAATGTTAGAAGAACAAGGAAACCAGCAAAACTGGAATAGAGTGAGAAAAGTAGACAGTTAAAAAAAGAAGTTACAAAAAGAACTGATGACCAAACCATATAGTATTGTACTGTGCAACAGAAATATAGTGATAGCCATAAAAATATTATTTTAAATTTCCTTGTAGCCATAATAAAAATGTAAAAAGAAAGGTTAAAAATTAACCTTAATAATGCATTTTATATAACTCAATTTATCTAAAATGTTATCATTTCAACATGGAATCTTTGAAATCGAGAGTGTATTTTATCTCAATTCATACCACCTACATTTCAATTGTTCAGTAGCTACATCTAGCTAGTTGTTGCTGCATTGGGCAGAACAGATAGATTTTGACTCATCAGTGAAAGAATTTTGTCTATTACTTTGAGTGACTAGGGAGATGTTTCAGGATTTTAAGAATTGAAGTGTCATGATTTGATTTATGTTTAAAAACAATCAGGTCTGGGGCCCTGGGTGGCTCAGTCGGTTAAGCATCCGACTCTTAATCTCAGCTCAGATCTTCATCTCAGGGTCATCCATTCAGTTGGGCTCCATGCTGGGCATGAAGCCTACTTAAAAAAAAAAAAAAAAAAAAGATCAGGTTCTGCTTTAACTGAGAATACATGATAAGGGATCAAAAGAAGTAGAAACAGGAAGACCTATTGCAGTAATTTTGATAAAGGAATGATGATGGCTCAGATGATAGCAGTGGTTGACATAAGAGGTGGTTCAATTCCTGATCATTTTAAAGGTAGAACAAATAGGACAGATTACATTTGGTGTGTGATGAGAGGGGAGTCAAGAATGACCCCAAGACTTTGGCCTAAATAATAGGAAGGATGGCTTGACCTCAACTGAGATGAGAAAGGCTGTTAAAAGGTTGGGACAAGGAAGATGTGTGTTCAGATTTGGATAGGTATATCTGAAAAGTCTATTAGGCATTCAGGTGAAGATGTGGGGTAGGCAGTTAGATAGGAGTCTAGAGTCTAGGGGACAGGTTGGAGGTAAAAGTTCGGAGATCAGCAACCTTGAAACTGGATAAGGTCACCAAGGAAATGAGAGTGGATAGAAAAGAGAGTACCAAGGACTGAGCACTGGGACATCAAAATTAAGAGGTCCATACTGACATGAAATTGACATTAAAGTAACATCAAATATTTTACCACTTCTGTAT